ATCTACCAGGTGCTAGAGACAGTATTCCCAAATCTCAGTGAAGAACAGAGAAGCAAGGGGTTTGCCTCAAATCATACAGTAAAGGGGCTGGGAAGGTGGCTCAGTGGTAGAGCACTTGCCTTGCATGCATGAGGTCCTGGGTTCGATTCCTCAGCTCCACATAAGAAAAAAGCCGGAAGTGGTGCTGTGGCTCAAGTGGTAGAGCGCTAGCCTTGAGCTGAGGGAAAGCGCCCAGGCCCAGAGTTCAAGCCCCACGACTGGACCAAAAAAATCATACAGTAAACAGCAAAACTGCAGTCTGGAGACATATCTATTTGTAACCAAGTGCACAGGACCTTTCACCCTAGCCTGGATGACAGCCTCAAGTTCTCCAGTTGACAACACATGCAGTTCCCCAGGTGGCCACCGGATGGCTCACCTCACAGCCAGGTGACATAACCTTACCCCTTTTACTCCACCAATCTGAGGAATTTGGTTCTAAGATCTAAAGGGAGGGGCTTGTGTGTTTGAGAATGTGCATTAGTGTAAGATACAATCTCCATACCTGGTATTATTACTGCATGTTTTTTTGTTTTATTTATTTTACCATTCATTCAGTCAATATTCATTGTTGGCCCCTGGACATGAGATAATTTAGCCAGGCTTCTGCATTTTGAGCAGTTAGTACATACTTACTGAATATTTCCAAGCATTTAGAACATCTACAAAGAGATGTTTAATGTGATATGAATAAGGAGCCCTTGCTGAGTGATAGTGGCTCACTCCTATAATCCTAGCTACTCAGGAGGCTGAGCTCTAAGGATGAAGGTTTGAAGCTAGCACAGGTAGGAAAGTCCATGAGACTCCAAATAACCACTAAAGAGCAGGAAGTAGAGCTGCTAGTGGAAACACTAGCCTTGAGCAAAAAAGTTCAGAGAAAGCGCTTAGGTTTTGAGTTCAAGTCCAACAACCAGCACATACACACACACCCATGACCAGCACACACACTCACGCATGCACACACACACACACACACACACACACAGAGGATCCCTTTAGGGTCTCACAAACCAGGGGACTAGATAGATACATGTACAAATGGTCACAACATGGTACACTATGGCTACGAATGAACATTTACTTCTCCTAAACCCTGTGCTGATAGTTAGCTAGGGAAGAGACTAAATGTGGTTCCTGTCTTTGTGAAGATTACAGCCCAGGAAACAATGGGAAATTAATTATGCACTGGACACATGCTCCAGATGTAATGGCTAGCATTGTGATAGTAACCAGGACGTATCTCTGAGGTAGGAAGATCGTGGAGCAAGTCACAGGAGAGGCAGAGAGGTTCAAACACAGGTCATAGATTATGCACAGTTCCTGATCAGTGGCAGAGTTTCAAAGTAGAGATACACAGCTAACCAGAGAGGAGCCCAGTGAGCCTGAGGGGAAGAATGGGCTTGAACTCTGGGCCTGGGCGCTGTCCCTCAGCTAGCTCTTCAGCTCAAGGCGAGCGCTCTACCACTTGAGCTACAGCACCACTTCCAGTTTTCTAATGGTTTATTGGAGATAGGAGTCTCACAGTCGCTCCTGCCCGGGCTGGCTTTGAACCGCGATCCTCAGATCTCAGCCTCCTAAGTAGCTAGGATTACAGGCGTGAGCCACCAGCGCCCGGCTTCAATGGCTTATTTTTTTTCCAAGGATCCCTGTTTCAGGGGTGACCTCAAGGATCAGCCAAGCATATACAGTCAGGGTTGGAGGACCCCTAGGAAACAGAAAACCTAGGATAAAGGAATGGGTGCTGCTGTTCTCTTCTTAGAGAGTAAGAAGGCAATAAGGAGAGCCCACAATGGCTGGGAATGTGGCTTAGTGGTAGAGTGCTTGCCTAGCATGCATGAAGCCCTGGGTTTGATTCCTTAGTACCACATAAATGGAAAAAATAGGAAGTGGCGCTATGGCTAAAGGGATAGAGTGTTAGCTTTGAGCAAAAGAAGCTCAGGGACAGTGCCCAGGCCCTGAGTTCAAGTCCCAGGATTGGCTAAAAAGAAAAAAAGAAAAAGGAGAGCCGAGCCTAGGACAAGCTAGGGACTATGAGAACCAGGAGTCCAAGCTGCTAACCGGAAGAGGTGTGTCAAGGGCTCGGTTTCAGGAGAGCTTCTACCGTTGCTGTGACAGCTGGCTCCGGGCGGAAGCTGGAGGAGCCTGGTAGGGAGGTCAGCAGAGGGAAGATGAGGAAGAGGCTCAGGAGATGGGAAGATGTGGAGTTTGAAGGATTTTAACTTGAGGGGCTAAGAGAGAGGGGGAAACGAGAACGAAACCACGAAGCCCAATGTGGAGGCTGACTGGGGAATGCTGGGGCTTCTGAGTGGGAAAGGGAACAGACTGTTCCACAGGTCTTAACTGTCTAAAAAGCAGGGATCCCCAGAAAGCACAGAAGAGGGGAAAATGTTCTCTAGCTTCCTTGCATTCTGTCTTCACAGCCTGGCCTGCTGTATTATATCTGTCCCCCTGAGTAGCCTGCAAATTGAGGACAATCCCGCTTATGCCTAAAGGGTAGGTGTAGATCTTAGACAAGAAGCTCTTGGGGCTGGGAAGGTGGCTCAGTGGTAGAATGCTTGCCTTGCATGCATGAGGCCCTGGGTTCGATTCCTCAGCACCACATAAGCAAAAAGAAAAAAGCCAGAAGTGGCGCTGTGGCTCAAGTGGTAGAGCCCTAGCCTTGAGCTGAAGAGCTGAGGGACAGCACCCAGGCCCAGAGTTCAGGTCCCTGGACTGGACCCAAAAAATAAAAAAGAAGAAGCTCTTGCCAGGCACTGGTGGCTCACACCTGTAATCCTAGCTACTTAGGAGGCTGAGATCTGAGGATCGCGGTTCAAAGCCAGCCCGGGCAGGAGCGACTGTGAGACTCCTATCTCCAATAAACCATTAGAAAACTGGAAGTGGTGCTGTAGCTCAAGTGGTAGAGCGCTCACCTTGAGCTAAAGAGCTGAGGGACAGCGCCCAGGCCCAGAGTTCAAGTCCCATGACTGACCAAAAAAAAAAAAAAGAAGCTCTTCAGAGAATATACATTCTTCTAGCAGTGAGGGCTCACTCATAGCCCTGTTACTAGTTATAGGTGTGGTGGCTGCGGAGCCAGGACTGTCTTGGAGTTGGAGATTACAGACTTGATGGCTTTTATTTATTTATTTTTACCAGTCTTTGGATTTGAACTCAGGGCCTGGGTACTGTCCTTGAGCTTTGGTGTTCAAGGCTAGCACTCTACCACTTGAGCCACGTCTGGCTTTTGCTGTTTATATGGTACTGAGGAATTGAACACAGGACTTCATGCATGCTAGGCAAGCACTCTACCACTAAGCCACATTTCCAGTTTGTTTGTTTGTTTGTTTATTGTATATTAATACAGAGCTTGAACTCATGGCTTTCTTGCTTGTCTTTTTTGCTCAGGGAAAGTGCTCTACCACTTGAAACATATCTCCACTTCTGGCTTTTTGCTGATACATTGGAGAAAAGAGTCTCACTGACTTTTCTGCCCAGGCTGGCTTCCGACTATGATCTTCAGCTGTCAACCTCCTGAGTACTAGGATTACAGGTGTGAGCTACCCACCAGTGCCCAGTTTAGTAGTTTTATTGGTTTTTTTTTTTCAGTCATGGGGTTTGAACTCAGGGCCTAGACCCTGTCCTTGAGCTTTGTCACTTAAGGCTAGTGCTGTACTGCTTTGAGCCACAGCTCCACTTCCAGATTCCTGGTAGTTAATTAGAGATAAGAGTTTCTGTAGCTTTCCTGCTTAGTAGCTTTTAAATGGGAACTGATAGCAGACGCCTGCCAAGATACTCCTGGAAGTGTGTAGAATAGGACTCAGGACTGGACTGAGTCACTGCTGATTGAAAGGGGGATATGAGCAGGAAGAGAAGGAAGAGAAGCAGGAAGAGGGAGGAGGAGGGGGGAGGGGGAGGGAGAAGGGAATGGGAAGGAGGGGATGGAAGTTGCCTCTAAGGGACCTGAGAAGTGGCTGAAGATGTAGGAAAAGAACTTACTGAGGGCTGGGAAGGTGGCTCAGTGGTAGAGAGCTTGCCTTGTATTCCTGAGGCCCTGGGTTCGATTCCTCAGCACCACATAAGCAAAAAGAAAAAAGCCGGAAGTGGTGCTGTGGCTCAAGTGGTAGAG